GCTACTGCTACTGCTGCTACTACTACTACTGCTACTACTACTACTATTATTACTTTTGCTACTGCTACTGCTACTGCTGCTACTACTACTACTACTACTACTACTCCTGCTACTACTACTACTACTATTATTACTACTACTACTACTACCACCACTACTACCCGCCCCCCCCCCAACTATGTTCCCTTAAACGTCAGGAGTGAGTTGTCAAGAGCCTAAGAGGAACAGGGTAGTGGTGGCACGTGCCTCACCCACGCAAAAACATCAAAAATGCTGTAAATGCCAATAGTTCTTGCATCCGCGCTCTTCAAATGATGCCCCCAGCCACCCGCCCCCCCCCCACTCTCCACCCCACCCCGCCGCTCCCACTCCTCCCCTCCTTCTTCTGCGACTGAGAGCAAAAAAAAAACCGCAGCAGCAGAAGCAGCAGCAGCAGCAGCAGGTGTAGCTACCCAATGCTGCGCAAGCCGTCGTGATGCCACCACTTACTCAATCAAACCCTCCTCCCATTCCCATGCAAAGATGCTGAGTGTAGTACCTTCCCCCTCCGAGGCCGAAGGGCTGCTTGGGGCCTTCACACGGCGGCATGCTAGCAAACACTGCCTTCTGAAAGTCCAGATCACAATAGCCAAGACTTCGAACACTTCTGGGGAGAGTAAGCAGCAGCATTCTGGGTGCGACTGTCTTTGTAGGCACGATCTGCTGCTAGGGCATAGGCTAAGCATCAACTTACACTTGTCAAGTATCTTAGCAGCAAGCTGAGCTGCGTGCGACGACGGGCGAGGGGCTTCTATTCCTCTTCGCTGGAGTTGCTGAAGGTTCTATTCGAACTGGGGCTGACGAGGCACCTTAGAGACGACGAGAGCTTCAGCTTGCCGCGCGATCGCACAGACTGGCTAAAAGAATGCTGAGCGGAAGCACCACCAACGGCGCAGGATCCCAAGGCCTGTATGCAGAAACTACGGCGCTGTGATGTTCAGAGCCCAGGCGAGCCACCAAGTCGAGCCTTCTCCACTATCTCTCTGGCCTCTTCATCCGTTCGCTGCACACCCTGACAACACCCACACTGCAACTTGAAATGAATTCCATTCCTTATGATCGGGTCTTTCAACAAGCTGCACACACTGCAAGATGCCTGCTGTCAGTTTGATCTAGATACGGTATCTATCTTCAATAACACCAAGTCAAAATATCAGTTTACCATCCCCGCGTCTCCGGGTGTTGCCTGCCATCGCTTCATGCCCGCATGGCGCTTGCTTGGCCTGAACAGGCGCAACTGATACTGCACCAAAAGATTTAATTCAAAGGCTTGTTGCGGACACTCAGACACCGACCGACACTGCTGGGAGCTGTTGTTCAGCGTTGTCACGGGCCCCGTGTTCCCAGCTGGCTTCTTGGCCTTGTTGGTCATCCCAAGCCTCATTCCGTACAATGGCACGGACGTCAAGTACCGTCAAAAAATGTCCGTCCTGTTGACAACCTTTTCCAGCTTATCAGTCGCAACTGTGATGCTAACAGCCAAAGAAGCATGGAGCTTGCCGCGCTGGCTCTTTCCCACAAATGCAAGCTTCTGAGTCAGTTCAGCAAAGGTCTACTAGGCAAAGATGTTCTCGCCATCTGCCATCTGCCTGCTGCAATGAGAATATCCGAAAACAGCAGGCTTGGCTGTCAAGCGGCTCCCTGCTATCTACAGGGCAGGTTTCGAAAATGGCCGATGCATCCCTTTACACCATGAAACCTGAGACGGCACACGAAGCATCTTTCCACAGCTTGTGAAGGGGATATAAGCCAGTAGCCCTGCACTATCCTGCACTTCTATGTTCTAGATCTATCTCAAGTTTATCGCGCATGTCGGGTGGATGCAGTGTGCCTTCCCACAGGCAAAAACTGGCTCAGAAGTCAAGCACCGCAACCAATAGGTTCAGACTTTCTCCTCCAGCTGCGCTCCAACTTGGCCAGAAGTTCCTGACGCGATCTGACTCTGAGTGCATCATGACACTGAAGGCTGACTTCGCACTGAACTGCAAAGCGACGCATAGCTTCGCACATCATGCAGGACCAAGCGTCTGGAAAATCGCCTATGGGGTCTATGATTGGGCGACAGCGCTTTGCCTCAGATATGACTGCAGGAGGCACAACACGGGCTCGGCAACCACTTCAAAATGAGCAAAGCTGCAGCTGGAACTGCTTCTTTGGCGCTGAGCTCCGCAAAGTGCATCAAGCAAATGCAGCCTCAAATGTGGTCACAAGCTGCTGGCGAGTGGGCCCATGATGGCATCTTTGGTGAGTTTTAACCGCTCTCAAGGCACCAGTGGTCCCAGCGCGATGTGCGCCAGCGAGACAGTGGACCATCACATTCTTCCCACTCCCCAGTGCGGCACCTGACCAAGCAACTGGCAAAGGAGCGGAACTGGAGCGAAGAAAAGGGAGGGGTTAGTTGCTAGGAAAGAACGCCACGCAAAAAAAAGAAGGCCGTGGCACCAACCCAGTCCAGCATTGGCTGAACAAATCGTGCTGCATCTGCATCCGATTTGACGAGCCGGTGGAAACTCGAGATGTCAAATCTGTAGTACTTAATGAAGCTGCCCGGAGTGTTCTCATGGTAATTGGGCATGTTGTCAGTGCAGTTCACAACATGCGTAACACCGTTCTTGTGGAGCAATCCAAGGTTGGAAGCCGCAGTCTGGTTGCCAACATAGAAGACTGCTCGCGACTCGGGATGCTGCCACAGCGCATCCATTGCATTGTAAGGCCCGCTCGAAAGAACCGAAGGGTCCAAGTTTAGCCGCGCCCACAATTTCTTGGCCTTGAAACACACTGCCGGTGTACGTTGCTGTTAAGCATCACAGTGATTTGGGCAACCCGCGCCTCTTCATCGAAATCTAAGGAATGATTCGTCTTCTGAGTCGCTGAGTAGCCATTCAATTTCAACCTGCTTGGCACAGCCTCTGGGTAACGCGCCTTGCCGCTCAAGAGGTCTTCCAGGCCATCACCGGAGCCGGCTTTGGACCGCAGTGCAGCCTCCTCTCTCTTGGCCCCAACCATGGCACGGCCCACTGCGGCCGCTGTGCTATGGATGTCCAAGCGGCGGCCACGGCTGGAGGCACGAGGCCCTGTCGGGCCAGGGCCACTTGTCGCGGCATGGCCAGCTCTCAGGGCACTGCTCATGGCAAAGGCAGGCGAATGAGAAATCACCTCTGGCTGGATACTGATGAGATCTGCTGGCTAACTAACCAATGCCTCATGACTTCGCTTGCAGAGAGCCGCGAAACAGAGGAACACTGCAAACCTTCTGAAGCAAAACAACCCCAGGACAGAAGTCATAAGCACCTTGCTCATCAGCGACTTTGCGCTCCAGGCGTCGTCTCTCCTGAAGGGCCTGGCATGGCAGCAGTCAAGGCAAAAACAAATCTTGTTCAAATCTGTTCACATTAATCACCACAAGTTTGCCACCCTGGCCCCACAAACCGACCATCACTTGGTGTAACTTGAGTTGTGTGTTGTCAGGTGGCAACAAGTAGAAGTAAGAGGCGAAGCAGCAGCCCGACAGTTGCAATTACACTGCTCAGGAAAAATGGCTCCATGCGGTTTGCCTATTTGCCACAACATGATGATGAATGCAGAGACGATAGATGATAGACATGATGTTTCTTTGTGCCATTTTCGGTGGCTACTATTACTATGATTGATAAAGATGATGATGCAAGGCCGATGGAGAAGCGCGGGGCTCAGAGAATTACGTTTAAGAGTTACTTCTGGACAACAACGGTGTCGGTTGTTTCAACCACTGTCGCACTTTCCCAACACTAATGGCTGGATCGAACCTGTGTCAACATGACATCTCTGACCAGACCAGCTGAACCAGACCCTACAGGCAAAAGGAAAGATGTACCCTGGTGGAATTTGTGGCGGAAGCATGTGTACAGCAGCAAGATCACTAAAAATGCGGCCGATCATACTCACAACGACAAGATTGCAACAAGGTGGTGACATGACAAGACTTGTGATCGTAGGCATAGAATGAGGAGAAGAATTAACAAATGTGCTGTCGAGTCTCATGCAACACCACGACAGCAGTGAGGACGGTTTTGACTCGGCCATGCTACAGTATAGCGGATGGGGACATGTAATGCCAGATCTCACATTAAAGATCACAAAAAAGAGTGACGGCTTCTGCGGTGTCGGAGGCAGCTGATGATGAATATTGCAAAGCTCGAAACATTAAACAATAACTCTGACAACTTGGATGACGAAAATCTCACGACGGTGGCCAGTTACTGTGGACAATGCCGATGAAGGGCATGACAAAAAAGATTAACAAGCATAACATGAAAATGCTTGCAAATAGTCATTCAAGTAATGGTGGTAAATGGTGGTAAACGGTACATAGCAAAATTTTAGATAGGGATGCAATGGGATGATTTATTGCAATGGAGCTGACACAGTCCCTGCGCTGCTCAGTCTAAACATGTGTCAACCAGGTAAAAATAAACCCAAAGAATGGGGTTTGGTAAAGTGAAAAGATTAAAAATGTGACCATTTTGCTTGACAGCTGCAAGATCAATCTGCTGGCTGCCTCCAAGGCCTTTTCCGAGGCATCTGCAGTACCCCGGCCACGTGGCTTGGCAGCTTCCAGTCGCGGATCCTGGCAGCAGCGTGGAGGCCCGCAAGTGCCTCCACTTTTTACTCTTCTGATTCTGATTCTGCATCCAAACATACCCCCCTCCATGCCGCCTCGCCGTTCTTCGGCGCCTTCAGGAGCTGCTTGGCACTGTCGGAAAGGCCTGGGCCCTCCTGGGGCTTTCACAAAACTCCATGAACTTTCGATGTAAGCTTGCAAGTCCTCGGTTGCCATTTTCTTCTTGCGGACCCACAGGCCCTTTTCATTCAGCTCCAGGGACTGGCGCACACCAGGTCGCGACAAAACCAAAAAGAAGCACCACTATGGACTGCTGCTGTAAGCAAGGGGGCGTCTGACGCTGCATAGAGATGTAGATCAAACTGATGACAGCACCCTTAAGCTCCACCTGATCCACTTCGCCTCGCTGCAAGGTAAGAAGACCGCTATCCTGGAAAGCGATGCAAAACAGCGACATGTTCGGGAGATCTAAGAGAAAGAACTTGAAACCTAGTGCCGATTCCCACAGAATCAGATGACGTGTGTACCAGCCAGCGACATGCCTCCTGCTTCCCACCAAAAGTGCCCTTGGCACCCCAAAAAACTTCGCCAGGCTTGTACTTCCGTTCTTAGCAAACATGTCGGCATCCACGGACGCAAACGTCAACCCTGAAGCATGAACCCCACTGCCGCTCGGATCCAAGCTGTCTTGCTCGCGTGTTTGTTCTGGGTTTGACCACACACCCGTCTCTTTGCCTGCACGCGTGCGGAAAGCTTGTAACTTGCAAGAGTTTCTCCAGTAGACACGCGCCCCTCGGCTTTGAGCCCCAGGCCCCAGGTTTGCTGCTTGTCGAAAACTTCGCGCTTCTTCTTCCAAAGCCTGCGTGGGGATGACCCCTCTTAGCATTGATGGCCAGAGGACGTAAATGATGGACATTTGTCATATCTTGTCATGTATGGTCCTGCTTGCTTAGTCCGCCCTGCACTTGCAAAATGCAACAGTGAATGCAAATGCGAAGTGCAAGTCTCTGGCTTGTTCTCGTCTTGGTACAACTCCTCTGATCGTCGAGCAATCCTGAGCTGCAAGATCTGTGATGAAATCTTGGCATCCCACATGGGCTCGCACGGATTCAGATCGCCCTTCTTCTCTTTGGGATTGTTCAAATCCTCCCAGGCATCCATATTTGACAACCGTGCCATCTCAGCAATGTTTGTTGATAGTTGAACCCAGTTAATATTCTTTTGTAAACTACCCGAACCAAAAAGATGATTGAATCTTACTTTGTCGTGGGAACTACAGGATCCCTGAATCAACTGTGATTCACCTCGATTCACAACACAAAAACCGTCGTCACGGCAACAACTCCTTGGGAAGAAGCGAAAAGGGCGTGTCAAACTGCCGGTGCTTGCGGAGAGATTCTTCATCTTGTTCGAATCTTGCCTGTCAAAAACCATTCACAACTTCTCTAATGTAAATCAATTCACGCTGACTCGAATCAATGCCTTTTCGGGGTCCGACACTGGCACGAAGCTCGGCATGGCACAGAAAAACAAACAAGTTGAAAGCAGCTTTCGTCTCTTTATTGCGGTGGCGAACTAAGAAACCAAGCACGCTAACAACTCCATAGTTTTTCGATACGGGTTTCGTTCTACTTGAAGTAATAATTCCAGGACTAGATGCCAAAAAGAAAAAAAAAACTCACAAGCCTTCCGATCCTCTGCGTTGCACCGGAGGTTTTCTGACATTTTAGTGTATGTGCATCCCATCGCCACTCGCCCTACACTTGGGAGATGTTTGCATCTTGGCATTGAGCCACGAACTTGCAGGGCGCTTCTATGATATGCATGTCGCAAATGATGCTGCCAGGCATGAGCTGCGCAACGTTCACAACAAACGTTACTGTCGTATCTTCGTAAACTGACACAACGTTTCACTAAGTCAACACAGCATCGCACCTAAGCAAAGGTCAGCGTTAACCGACACAAGCGCAAATACCGCCACCCCTGAATTGTATTTTGACGTGTGTCATGAATCACTTGCCTTGAAATCAAACTTGATGGTTTGCCGTGCTTATGCTGCTAACATGAAACAGACATCAGTCCTGAATTCTGGGCATGGCATGAAACACACTTGCGTTTCACGATTCAACTTTTCGGCACGCACGAATTCAGCTCACGAAGTCCTGTGATTTGAATATTGGTTACATAGTTGTACATCTGTGATGCCGAATATTATGGATGGCAGTTATTGCATTCTGACGTGAATTTTATGATTTGGCATTTAAAGTCATGCTGCCGGATTTTTATTAAAAATGATATTGTTGGTTGTTCCATTGATCTTGATGAATAAACTGAATGTTTTTTTGATACTCTGGCACATTTATCTGACCATAAAATCTTCAGTAAACAAATGGTTACCTGGGGCAAGGAGAATTGTAGGTCGGACTTCCTTAAGGTTATTCCCCAAGCCTTCCGGAATCTCCGTCGGCCCAATGCTAACAAAAAATGCTTTTGAGAGCCTGGAGTTGCCAATGCGGTGCGCTTTTACGTCTTCAAGAATCTAAGTCATTATGTTGTGCACCTTCATCACACTGAAAAACCGCGCTTGTAATGGCTGCTGGAAGTCGTTGGAATTCTTACAGGAAAGCTCCACTCTGGAGCTGCTGGCGGGGCAAGATAGGCCATCATTGGCATTCAATTTTTCCAGAACGATCGGCCACGAGCCATTCCCCAAGGGCTCCGATGCGCATACCCCCGAGCTGTGTTTCCAGGCAACATAAATTCCGCTTGGAAGGCAGAAAGCTGCGTGGAGCTTCCTGACAAAATACGGCAGTTTCCATCACTCAACCTGTTTCCCATCACCCTGATAACGCGCGCCATCGATTAAAGAGCAAGCCAAGGATTGGGGGGAGGGATCATTTAAGAACACCGATTGGCATCATTGTGAACACGCGTAGACTTCTTTTGGAACACACATACCAGAACGGATCATTTTGAGACACAATTTTTTCATTTTATATCGCCTTGTTGGTCCAAGCTTCGCCCCATTAGTCCAAGAGTCGTACCCATAAGTCCAAACTACAGCCGTCACTCCAAGCTATGCCGCATTCGTCCGACAATGTGAGAAGTTCTGATTTATTTCTTCCATTTTTATCATCGATCTTCTTATCGCCCAATTAGTCCAAGCTTCGCCTTGTGAATCCAAGAATCGTTCCAGTTAGTCCAAGCTACGCCCCATCAGCCCAAAGGTGTGCGGAGGAATGATTTATTTTGTCATCGCCACATTAGTCCAACCTTCGCCCCATTAGCCCAGAGATCGTGTCCAATAATTCAAGCTACGGCCCTTATTTCGCAACAGTTTCAGCTTGCATGCGCATAACATTCATTTATAACACATTTCAAAATCGCTCGCAAAAAATATGGTATATCAGTCAAACTTGCGAACTCATCTGTGTGAGAATCATAAACATAACGACATGACCGGAACATGTAAACGTGTTGGTGACTGTATGCATCCGCACTCGCTCCTTAATCCTTTCTTTCCAAACGGTGCGGCCAATCATGGGTAGGGTCCAGGCTTTAGAAAAGTGGTGCGTTGCACAAACGCATGATTTTACGCAACGCAAAACGCAAGCATAATCGTCACCCAGGACCATCTAAACCATTGACAACACACCACTCGCCTCACCTATGCAAATTGGCCAATCCAGCAGAATACCCCGGCATGGTGCGTGAAAAACTTAAGGTCCCTC